ATCACTCAGAACAGAATTAGATTTTTCCTCATTTTTGTCCACTGGCACCAGCAATGGGCAGAGAGGCACCTTGATCATTCAGGCAAAACCATTGGACAGTAAACCTCCTCTCTTGTATGTTGCATTCTTTTCTCTTCAGAACTCCTCTGGGTATCTTTGCTGCCCACTGAATTCAAACCAGGAATCCAGGCAGGGCTGCCAGCAGAGGAATGCTGTCTTTTAAGTGCTCAGAACAAGGGACAAGGCTTTAGGAGACAGCTGAATGTGCCAGAACATCAGCTTCTCCTCATTGCCCACACAATGATGGCATTGTTTGAGAAACCAGCCCACCACACTCAATCTCTCTTTTTGCAAAGGCAGCTACAATGACGAGTAAAGTCAGGCCCAAAGAGTTGAGCATTCAGTGGCAGCCCTATAACCACTTGTACCAGCTGGATAAATCCAAGCTGCTCATTTTGTGTGGAATTTGTTAGCATGCTATCTAGCAACACCCAGAGACCAAGAAAACAGAAAGTTTTTAGAAGTCTTCAACTGAGGTCATAAAACAAATTCCAAAACCCTCCTCTGAAATGCCACACAGTTTACAAAATGGAAAAGCTGTAAATAAGTTTAACATTGTAAATGTGTTGTATTTTACACTGAAAAAGATGGTTTGGCTCTGAAATTTCTACAGAACACAAGAGCACTGTGAAGATTGGCTCAATTTTGAGATTTTAATATATACAAAGCCACTAACAGACTGCAGTGCACATCAGCCTTTTGCATTATCACACTCAGAAAAAAACAAAGCCAAGACTCTTACTATTCAATTGGTTTAAAATAAAAATGATAATAAATAAATTAAAAAAAACCCTGACTGTTGAATATGACTGATCAAATTAAAAAAACTCAGATACCAAATTTGCACAAGTGTCCCATTTTCAAATTTGGAAGGCAAGAAGTCAGGTACTCTAAACCTATGATCACTATATTTTCAGCACGAACATATTCAAATTAGAAAACAAAATCTCTTAACATTATTTAGACAGCTCCTAAACGTCCACTGTGGTTCATAAATGCACACTATGAAAAACACGAGCCTCAAAAAACCTCAGAAGAGTATGATATTGAAGTAAGCTGTAGAACATTATTTCTAGCGAGGGGCAGCACTGCAGACATTGGTCATGAGTAAGACAGAAGGATCATCTTAAAAAGCAGGGTTTAAAATACGTAAAAAGAGAAAGCATTTGGCAAAGGAGAATGGGAGACTGCTCCTGGGTTCCTAAAACAATAAGGTCCAAAGATGACAGTGTGGAGGAAAAGGGCAAGAAAGGAGTAGAGAAGAGACCAAGCTGAAATCTAAAAACCACACAAAAAGACCACAGCTAGAGTGTGACAATGAAGGCAGCTGAGTGTAGATCCTGGGACCAACAGGACAATGTGATGTGTGAGTTACAGAGGAGATCAGCAATGATGTCATGGCACGATGTTAAAAAACACAGAGTGAGATGGAAAGCTCTGTCTTCAGGAAATCTGCATCCACAGCAGCAGTCAGCCAAGCAAGAGGCACACCAGGTACAGACGGGAGGGGATGAAGTTAGAGTGGGGGTAGCTTTGGAAATCAACCATGGGCAGGTGACAGCTGACAGTAATTAAAAGTTTCCACTGCAGTATTTCCCTGGTTTCCCAATGGAGCATCTCAATGTCATAATGGCCAGTCACAGCTCTCCAAAGGCTCATGGCTAGAAGGGTCTCCATTAAGTACATGCCCTTCATTAGCAGAATATTGCTTTTGGCTCACAGGGCATTGGACTACTGTAAAACAGTTCAGTAGCTGATGCTTTTGGGACAGAAAACTAAGGAATTGAACCTCAGGGAACAATATCAGCAAATGGATAAAAGAGTCATTTAGGGGGGTGTTAAATAAACAGTAAACTAAGTAAGAGGAGACTGTAAAGAGCCCTGAAAACCAAGAAAATGAACGGCTGCCAAACCAGAGGCGATAATGAACCCAAAATCTCAAGGACAGAAAGCTGTCCATTTGCACTAGAAGGAGATGCTAATAATTACCTTCATGGCAGCTTCACCAGCAACTCAGAACAGGAAGGCAAAGGAGGAGCAAACAGAAAACCAGAAGAAAACTACGGGAGAGCTATCACAGAAAAACAAAAGGAACAGGGCTCTTATTAGAGAGAGAAATATGGTATGAGGGGAGTTTTCTTTTTGTATTTCCCATGAGAAATAAGACTGCCAGGAATTTGAAAGGAAAGGTAAACGAGTCAGAAAGGAAAAGGGAAAGGGCTCGAGAAAAGGCTCTCAGAGAAGAGGAAAGTCCAATGCCAGAGGAAAAAACGAATGAAGGGAAGGTCTAGTAAATCAGGTGTAGAAAGAAATGCAATCCAGAGATCAGTAAGTGAGGTTACATCTCCATATCCCAACATACTTTGAAATGTTAGTCAAGTGCAGTGAAATGGCAAATATTGTAAATATTTGCAAGAAAATAAAGTTCTTTTGAAATTGCATGGAAATATGTGTTCAAGCAAAGAAAAAATAAATATATGTATTTGATAATGAGAAGAAAGGTATAACATGAATTCTTATTATCGTTTTCTGACGTATCAGAGAAGCAGCATGAAACTACAACACCGTGCTGAGCCAAAGCCATCAGTGAAACTTGTACTTTCCAAAAACCAGGGCTAACCAACTGAAAAACAGAGATCCACAGAAAATGAGACTTCCCCAATAGCGATGGACAATTATGAGGGTTTATTTAAACTCACAAAGGAACTGGATAGATTTTTGCACAAGGACAAAGAGAAGCGTGAAGACAGAACTGATAGTTGGAATGTAGGGTAAAGGCAAACTTAGGTACAGGTGGGAACCTAGGTGGTTAGGAAGCTGCAAAGTTGGCAGCTTCTCAAAGGTACAGGAGCAAACATGGAGGAAAGATAAAGGAAAACAAACTAAGTGGTCTAAAAGGACTCAAGAAGGGCAATGTTCTTTGGAGAAAAAGTAGAAATTGTCTGTGTAAAGGTTTCTGCAGCTGTTTTTTGGTGTTTTGGTCACATATCATTGTCTGCTGTTATCCAGCACATCCCTTCTGTTGATGTGAAAGCTCAGACAATTCTGACCAGCAAACACAGCACCTTACTGCCCATTGATTGGCTCACTGTGTTATTTGCCATCCCCTGGCCCTCACTAAGGATGGTGATTCAATCAGTAGCATAAGCTTTTTAAATCTTAGTCGAACATGTTGAAGAGCTAGTGTCAGCTAATCCAACTATTACCAGTCTTAGGCATTCATATCACTGATTTGGAATCCTTTTTGTTTCTCATACGCTTACAGGTTTCATATGCAATTCATCTCTTAAAAAAAAAAAAAAAGAAAAAAAAAAACACTGAAAAAACCAGCAGCTACTGCTAACTGTTGAATTATCCCATTCCACAAATTAACAAATAAATGAAAACAATTTTGTTGCTAAATGGCAGTGAATAACAGCTACTACCTTACAAGATGGATTTCTCCACGTATTTTGACAGGTGTGGTCTTAATTACTTACAAAAATGCTTTGCAGTATGCCAATAGAAGCCCCTCCGTATATCCTAATGTATTTTTCAAAAATAATGAAGTCTTAGGAACATGTGACCTTTCTGCCACAGTCTGCAATTACATCTGTGCTTAGAGTAAGTCTGTAGGTGAGCAAATGACACCACCATTTGTGTGTTAGCATCTGTGTGTGATGAGACTTCCTATTAAATGAAATCAGCTGGAGCATATTCTTACCATAGTTTTTCTTAACAGACACTTCAAATTCAGTAGTTTTGTGGCATGCAAAAGATACAGACAATATCCAAGGAAAACCTCAATATAAAAAGTGATTCTAAAGCAGAGATGAGTTTCAGTGGTTACTTTCACTATCTCAGTATCTGAGGTTATAAAACAGTGGGAAAACCAGATTCTCATCCAACAGTTTTCTGCCTAAAGACACAAATCCAGAACTATGATATGTTTAATGTCACTACAAAAGGCCGGTGGTGTCGAAGATGTTGTAGGATGAAAGAATGAAGTAAAAATGCCTAACTGCACAGTATCTGAAAGATGTTACTATTCTTCTTGCTGCAAGTAAACCAGCAAAATATCTTTTATTATTTATTCTAGTAACTTTATTAATTCATACATGGCAGCTGTCACATTTTCATCAGGCCTCAGGATCTTCACTGCACTAAACACTAGACAACTATTCTAATCTGAAGGATTAGAAGTACAGATATTGTGTCTAGTTGTTAGAAGAGAACATCCTATCAGGGTGCAAAGAAAACCATGAGACCATTTGGGATATATCTTTTCTTTATCACTTTTCGCACTACATTTTTCCTTGCACACGTGCTGTTCACTGTGTATTCACTTCTAATTACTGCCATATACACATAGTTTAGTTCATAATGCTTCTCTGATATGTATCTCATCTTTAAATACATCCTCTGCTTTGGAATTGCATATCGTATTACTGCATCCTACAGAACATTCATTCATACTCTGACAATTGTGGCAGTAGAAAGTAGTCAGCAGATGTGCCAGCACTGCCAGATTACATTTTGGGAATGCCATTCTGCTAATCTTCAAACTCCCAATTTGATTTGAAATTACTTAGACTATGCAAAAAATTTCCACATAATAGGTCCTTCTCCCACAGAAATAGCAAGGCTCAGAGCAGACAACAACCATATGAGTTCTTAAGGTACACTTATAAATGGATAATGAAGAGTCTTAAAGCATTATCACTTTTTATTCGATTAGCTCTGCATCTGCAACCACATTCTGATGTTAGTCAGTGCCTATGGAAGTCCCTGAAAGACGTACTTTGGCAGGAGTTACGGAGGAAAGGAATTCCAGGAATGACGGTCATTTATTTGGCTTTACTCAAGTATCAGAATTAATTCACACAAGCAACTTCATTGCCTAGTCCCTCCCAAAACCAAAATGCAGTACTATAAAAAGAAAGGGAGACAGTGGCACTCACCTTACATCCCTCACAAGCACTGACACCATAGTGATATCCAGATGATTTGTCTTGACAGACAAAACAGGGCTTGTAAACACGCGGGGGTGGAAGTGGTGAAGGAGGGCTTGGAACAAGTTCCTCAGAACTGGTGCTCTGAGTTTCAACTGCTAAAAAGAAAAAAGGAATATAAATGGATGACTCATGAATGAATTTCAAATAATCAGTCACTTACTGTATTACAATGATCAAACTGGCCCTTCCTGTCTTTGTTGAATAAAAAATTAGAAACAAAAAAAGACAACTAGCGACAGAACTACAGGCTGTACACTCAACAGTGTATTTTAAACTATCTGGTATGTAAAGTGTCATGATCCAGCTACTAAACACCAAAAAAGCTTCATCTCACTTCATATGCACAGCTTAATTATCTTCAAAGGCCCCAGAAATGGAAAGTCTTGGGCTCACGTTCTGTTTTTAGCTTACTGAATTACATGGGATCCGTGTGTGTGCACTGGATATCAACGTTAAATGGAAAACCGAGGCATGTGTGTTTCCAATCCACCACTGGTTTTGGAAGAGCTCTTACATCTTTTGCCATTGTCTACAATTTTCCATGTGCAATTCCACCACAGAAAGATATGAAAATGGATCAGGACATACATGAAGAGGCAAGTGAATAAGACCCGAAGTGAAAATTATTGGAACGAGTCATTTATGTTGTTGTTCATCAGTAAAACCAGCACAATCCAGTAACGTTTCCTTATCAACTCTACGATTTGTAGCATCAGGAAACCTCTCCGAGAAAAAGCTATTAGATATTATGACCCCATGTCCTTTATTGCCTTAATATTTCTGGATGGCCATTTGTTTTGAACTTGCTAGAAAGCCAGTCATCCTTTTCAGTGAGAGGACATGAAAGCTCTGTGATGTGAGATAAGACACGTGAACTAGATCTTTTCAGAACATCTGCATTAGTTTTCTGTGATATGCTGTCATCATTCCTCACATTTATTGTAGATGCGCAATACATTTCCATGTTTCACCTAGCTGTTCTGCTGCTCCTCAGATAAATCCCTCCAACTTTTCAACAGATACACAGAAATGACAGAATCTGTGAACTCAGATCTATCCAGAAATATTAGGCACTATCTGCACAGCTAAATCTCCAGAGCACTACCAGCAGGCCCTAAAGAATATTACTCAATGGAAAATCCGAGACAAGATTTACTGTACATGGTATTTTTCAGATTACTGAGATGATACATTTGTATTAAACCCATGATTCATTGTCAACTCGAGTTCTTCAAAATTCGCAGAGAGGACTGCAGCACATGATACGACTTCCGATTACTCGTTAGGGAAGGGACAATTTCTGCCATTTTTACTTGGATTAAACTACCATCAACTTCAAGGACGCATTTTTTGGAAGAAAGTAAATGCTGGAGTGGAGTGTTAAGGGCACTGATTTTAAGCACAGAAATATCTTCTCAACAGGACCGATTTATTTATATACGTAACAATAGGAAGGTTTGTGTGGAAAAACAGAAAAGTAAAATAACATGTGGCTCAATAAATCTTGATATTTAAACAATGTCCAGAGCCATACTTAACTGTTTCAGCATTCAACATGCTGAACTTCAACAAATCAAATATCTACAGCTTCCTACTGGCCCAAGAAAACTTTAATGAGCTTTTTTGTTAATGAAAAAAGAAGCGAGAACAATCATTTCTTCTCAATAGTAATTTTTGGTATTTAAGAGAGACACGGAGTGCTCCGTTATTGATTTCTGCACAGTCATCCTGCTTAAATCAATAATCTATTAGTACTTCTAAATTAAAGTCAGATTCATCAAATGCCCTTGAGAGTCCTCAAACGTTCTGCGTCTTATTTCACGCTAGCACAAGTATTATAGTGGTTTCCAATCAGTCTCAGAATGATAAAATTTTAGTTTAAAACTCTAATATCAGCAGACAATGTGTTTCGTATTAGCTCATTCAATTCTCCCAGTCAGTCTGAAAGGCGGTTTTTAGGCTTCTCTTGGGAAAACAAGGTTGTGTCATTCAATAAAACAACCACACTCCCACAATCCTTCTGTGATTTTGGTTAGTGAAAAGCAGTCTACGAGGAATAATGCCGATACACTTCTGTTTCTTCAACAATCTCATTGTAAACAAGCCCCACAATCTAATAGTAACATTCACGGAGTGAGCCATATGTACAACGCAGGTCGGTCTGGCACTGGCCAGCACCAGCAACCTGGGTTGCTCAGAAGAGATTAAGCAACCAGCTCAGTTCATAAAGGAAGAAAGAAAAAGTGGTCAACAGCTGACTATGTGAAGATGCCATTGCAGATTTACTTTTTTTCTGGAAAACTTGGAAAGATATATGAGAGTGAAAAACCCAGAAAAAAAACCCAGAAGATGCACCTCAAAACAGTCAGATATATATGCTACTGGAAAAGCTGAATCTGCTCAACACAGTGCTTGTGTCAGACGAACAACTGCCTAGAGAGTTTGGGAACGTTTGGTCCTAGGCAAGATGTATGAGGTTTCAGGAGCAGAAACTCTACTCCTAGTTGGCTTCTGACTCACTGTTCTTCCTTTTAAACTCTGTATTTGAAAATATATGTATTGCCAGTGTGGAAATGCAGAAATCAGGTGCAGAAGCCTGTAGTGACTGAAGCTCACTGGGTTTTGAGCACTAGTTTTGTGTCACATGGATGGCTACTGGAAAAAAAGCAGTGGAACTCATTTCCATCTATTCATGCCTGCACATGGAAGATAAAAAACACATCAAGAAAAAGAGGCAGAGAGGGGGACACTGATGACATTTCCAAAAAGTCAAAGTTTGGAAATTTGTCAAGAAGTCTTAGAATTTTAGGAACAATTTAGTCCAAGTAACTTCTTCTGATGCCCTGCAGCCTCATCCTGTACGCTGTGACACTGCTCACCTGAGAAAACAGAGGCCAGGCACAGCACAGAACACCTGAATGCTGCCAGAGCACACAGGGTCTGGCAAACAATAGGTCACTTCACCATTCCTAAGATGTCTGAAATATTTCTAAAGGTTAGATAAAGTAGCAGATAAGATCTTGAAAAGCACAGCGTGCTTTGTGAGAGCTAATTTACTGCCAGCTAAACCATGTTGACAGACAGAGGTATTTCACTTTGTGACCAAATAGAAGCAGGCATTATGAAATGCCTTTCGTTTCACCAGGAACCTCGATTATTAAGCTAGTATGTTAACGCACACTTTGGACAGTTGAGTCTTAAAAGAATAAGAAGTTGTAAAGCAAATGGCATTTCCTGGATAGCCTCAAGGGAATTGTGAGTACTGAGCTCAGGGTCCCTGGTGGGAAGCAGCAATTTCAGCTAATTAGGGTGAATAGCAAAGTGTTGCATTTGGTCAAAACATTCTGTTAACCCTCATTTTTGTTGGCACCAACAAGAGTCTGGATTTTTTGCCTTTTTTTTTTTTTTTTTTTTTTTTTTTTTATGAATTCTCTGCAGGAGTGCAAGGCACACAGCTCACATACATTAGGCAGAAAGTCAAAGGAAACGCCAAAGTTCAACTAAAGTACAAGTAATTAGAACCAGATTCTCTGCTGCTTGTATGTGTGCATTTGATTGTAGAAGTTATTTATAAGCCTCCAAACATTTGAAAAAATAACTATATACTGTAGATCATTTAATTTTTATGTCTAGTCTGGAAAAAAAAAGTCTGCTTTTAATCATCTTCCAGGAAAGAGCCAGGAACTGGGAAAGTGGGTCTCAATTGTTTCAATACAAATTTCTCTCTTTCATGTGCCACATAAAACTATACTATAAAATTAAATCCAAAATATCATTGACTCAACCTCCTGCCCCAATTTTTTCTTTTTAATAAAAAACCTCTTTGAATTTGTCATGCTTAAATAGTTTGCATTGTTATGAGGGTTTGTTTTTTTTTTTAAAAAAAAAAAAAACAAAAACAAAAACCAAAAAAAACCCTGTTGTTTGGAAGACAGACAAGAGGGGGGGAAAAAAAAGTGCGAGAGAAAGAAAACATTATGGTGGAGACTTGCCAGCCTTGACTTAGTAACCTGGCCATGACCTTCCAGCGAGTGTGTGTTTGACCCGGTCACACATGACTCTGGCTGCGGACTGTTGCTGGGTTATAAGTCCCAGATATTTTTACCATATATACAACAGGTGCAGATCAGAGACAAAGGAAAGACGAAAAACAAAGTCTTCGCTTTGCGTGAAGACCCTGATTTTCTCTCTTTCAAAGCAAGCAGCAAAAGCAAAGAAGTCGGGGTACTATTTCACTTTATTGACATCTCTATACTCGATCGCTGTTCTACATGAGAATTTACTGCAGGGAAGTCGAGTGGGCTGAGGGCAGGCAGAAAGAGGAAAAGGCTCAGGGGAAACAACGCGCCAAATGTTGTTCAACTTGCATTGAATTACCAAACTGTCACATCCAAAACACAATCAAAAATCTTCCCTCTTATGGCTGGGTATGCACTGAAGTTCTGGAAGGAATGTTTTTTACTAGAGTGAACACAACACACCTGGATTATAAAACATAGGCTGTCACGATAACTCCAGATTGAGATATTACTATCAGAGTTTTCAGAAGTACTTAAGAAAACATCTTTCACATTTTAGGGTTTCTTTTTCATTACTTGTGTCTTGCTAGCTGTGCACATCTGTCTTAAAGCCATGATGTTAAATGTAAGTTATTTTACTTAATTCCTCGTTACAATTTTTCCAGCTTAAATTTTAATCAAGCCATAGCTCAACTCTACAGGACAGCCTACGTCTTAAAAGAAAAAAGGCATGTTTTGGCCTGGAAAGACAAAAAAAACATCCAAGTCTTCAGGTTTGGTTTTACTATGAAAAAGGGTATTTTTCAACTGGGACATCAAAAGTCCATACTTTATGATTTGGCTTTTACTTGAGGGTGCCCAATCCCAAACGATCTCTTCGTTATTTGAAAAGCTAAGAGTACTGTGTACAGTTTGGGAATCCTACAGTACAATTCAAAAAACAACCAAGCTTATAAGAAGTAGAGGTTGTGGAGAACAAAAGTCCAAGTTGCAAGTTCTAACTAATAGACAAACTGCCACAAGGTCACCTAGAAGGTGCCTCAGCCGAGGTCATTTTCAGAGCCATGCCTATGGCA